CATCATGTATTTGATTATGTTATCTACAGTTAGTTACACGATTTTCAAACATAGAGTTTTAATAAGTTGACATACATACAATTTTTTTGTAATATTGAATTTTTAGTAATATGTATCAAAAAAAATATTGGATGCATTAAAAATGGTTTCTAAAAGTTTGTTTCAAATACTTTATAATATAGTATAAATTAAAGTAAACTTTAATTTGGTTCTTGAGGTTTAACAAAAGTGGAACCTGAACTACAAATATATCATTGTGGTTTTCATTTTGTTATAAAAACTATCCATCATCATTAATTTTGACTATTTTATCCGTTAGAAAATGGAGAATTTCAATCTCTTCATCAAAATCTTCAACTTCCTTTTTAAAAAATAACATAATATAATATAATATTTTATTTAATCATAAAATCTCTCTTTAAAATCTAAAGTATATTATTTTTTAACAGAAAATATTAAAATAAAATTTTATGTTATTTTTAAGAAGAAAATAAAGATTTTGATGGAAAGACTAAAATGACCCTTATTTTAAAAGAGAAAATAAACAAAGTTAGTAATCAAGGAACACCTTCAAAACAAAATGAATTTCACAAAGATCTATCTAGCATTTTAGGGGTTGTTTGTTTACCTTTTAATAGTTTCATTAAGAGGCAACCTCTGAATCGTTAAGAGGTGAAACTTGTTTGACAAAAAAAAAAGACTGTTTCTTAATGGTTCTAAAACCCTCTGAATAATCTTGTATCATGGATCTTCCTTAATCATTAAAAACCCTAATTTCATAGTACACAATTACCAAACAATTATATTTCATTTTGCATTATATCATGAAAGTCTATTAATCATTTTGACCACTTAATCATTCTGCAGCAAACCATTCAACAATTGCTAAACAAGCCATAAGTCTTACATGAACTATTTATTAAACTTGAAGGACTGAAATTAAAGTTTATGGGATAATTTAAAAATGGATAATATCCATCGGAATTTGAATAGAAAAATGTAATTTGGAGAAAAGGGATTTTTATTGAAAGATTTGATGAGGAAGTGTTGGGGATGGGACAAAAAGCCGAAAGCACAGAAATTAAAGCAAACTTTATGTCTAGTAATCCCTTCTCTTTATTCGGTTTAAACCAAAGAATGTTCACACCCTTTTCTTTTTTCTTTTTTATTCTTACTACTAAATAATTAATATTATATTATATTATATTATATTATAAAAAAATAAAATACGTATCAATAATATGCTTTTCGGTAAAATAACGAACATCACCCAAGTGTCGTCATTTTGGTGAATCTTTGATACGAAAAATCAATCGTTTCAAACTGATAATATGTTTCTCGGGAATGAGTTAGTAGATGTCATTTAGATTTATTTCGTTGTTCAATATCATCATGTAGATGCTGACGGAAGACCTTCGCAAGTACATTGACTGCCTAAGGGATGGTGAATAAGTATATGCAGTAAGGTTGGAACGTTATCTTCCTGATAAGTGAATAGCCATGGTTGACAAGGTGCAAAACGTGGTTTCTTATTATGGTTGAAAGGGATATAAACGTTTGCGAATTGGGCCACATGAATTTTTGTCATTTGTAGTACTTGCAGTTTGACGTGATGGTTAGACGCTTACATCCAATTCTTGGTCGATTTTGGTCAATATGATTGGATATAAAGTTTGAATTATGCAAACATGTTCATATGAGCGTTTTAATGCACTTCAAGTACTCCCTCATTTAACTACATTGTATGCTTATGGGTTACGACTTATAGTTTGTGCAAATGCATGTTTAAAAACAAACATTATATATTTGTATATCTATAAAACTGTTATAATAATTAATATGAATTACAAAGATTATATAATATATAAAATTCTAGATACGAAATTACAGCTATATATTGTATTTATCACAGGTCAAACGTCATCTGTAAAGTAAGCCACAAACAATGCGCAAAAAACGATCAAACTCGTGTATCTTTTTGGAGAAAAGCATGTATGTTACCTTGTTTGCATTCCAAAATACAAAAGGATAACACAATGTTCTCGCAAAAGGTAAGCGAAAAAAACCCATTAAGGGTGCTGATTCCACGATTGAATATCATTGATCTTGATTCGTTAACATAAAACATATTGTAAATTCTCTATCAGTTATAGCATCTTGTCAGCACGAAAATCCTCTCATTATTTTACAGCATACTTCTTCTGTCACATATAAAAAGAGTAAACTACAAGTTTAGTCCTTGTGGTTTGTCAAAAACAACACTTTTCGTCTTTGCAATTTTGAAATAACAATATGGCCACCGTGGGTTGTAAAAACATCCGATACTAGTAATTCCTTTTAACGGCTGTTAAAAAATATTCTGTTAAACGAGAGCATTTTTTTTTCATTTATCGATTTTTTTTACTTTTTACCCAATCAAAAACCACACGATCCTAAATCATGAAATCGCTTTTGATTGGGTAACAGAAAAAAATCGGTAGAATGATGAAAATATCCCTCACTTAACGAATTTTATGTCGGTTGTTAAAGAAAGGGGCCAAATCCAAACATTTTTACAAACCACATTTTTTTTATTAACCTGGATATTCAACCAACCATGCAAGCTAACTAATACCAGGACGACCATCTGCTTAGCAGATAGTCCGGAGTCTCCGTATTTAAACCTCCGTGGCCACAAAGGGATTTTTATTTCTTCTTGGATTTGAATCTGAGATCTTCTGATACTTTTGACCTTTGAAGTCAAGCTCAAATCAATCAGACACCAACCTTGTGGTTACAAACCACAACTGTTACATTGTAAGTTGTAAACCAAATGAATTAAAGGTGTTATTTTCGACAAACCACGTAACTAAATTTGTAACTTACTCCATAGAAGAATGATTTTCCATGACGTAAAATAGCTATTATTAAGTTTTTTAATAATAATATTAAAATTAGAAACCAAATCACATCATTTACCATCTATATATTGGTTATTACAAAATTGGCGAAATTGATTATGCTTATGGGTTTTTTTTAGTTTTGTTCCGTAGAAAATTCTTTAAATCAATAATTAATTCTTTTAGTAAATTATGGATAAAAGTAAAAAAAAATGACATTTAATTTATATAATATGATTTGAAAAAACAAAAAGGGATATATAGCAAGCAACATTCTGCTGTTTACTTAATGGGTCTCGACTTTGCCGTTGTAAGCGTTTGGGAGTGAAAATCGTGGCACCAGATCCGAAGCATGATCAAAGTTACCAACACACTCCACCCCATTTTGCACGTGCTCTCTTTTCTTTTTCTTTTTCTTTTTCTTTTTCTATTTCTTCCAAATATAACATAATTACATATATATATATATATATATATATATATATATATATATAATATTTTCTCTGATTAAAATTAGGCTGTAGATACATGATTTTATTATGTTTCATTTATTTATTATCTTTAACCATAATTAATTACACGTTGCCATCCGAACAATTTACTTTTAACGTGAATGGCAATTATTGAACCATATTAAATGAAGGCAAAGCAATATTAAACGGAATTATTCATAAAAGCTTTAGGTTTGATAGACGACGAGTGACATATTCTAGAAAAGAAACAACACAATCATGTGTACTACATATTTCTTTTGGATGACCTCATTTCACTAGGAAGTAGGAGTAGTCTTTTTGGTTGTAAACATTAAAATATGTTTCTTTATATAGATAAAAGTCGAATATAGATGCATAAAATTAAAAACCGACGAATCTCAAAAGATGAAATGCTAAAACTGGAAAAGCAATGAATAAGTGCACATGACAAAATTAAAACACAAGACGCTATCAATCATGCTCATCAAAACAAAAAAAAGGGCTCGATGCAAAGGACCCTTCACCAAAAAGGGAATTTTATGACCATCGTGATACTGTTCAAGATGCTTTCATGTCTAAAGTTTTATCAAAATGAAATTTTAACTATACACCATCCATATATATATATATATATATATATATATATATATAAGGGTCCATTTAAGAAAGAACTAACTAGTTTGTGTTAACCGTAAGATTCAATCTCAACCACAAATCAATAAATAAATTAGAAAATTTATAATTTTGGTAATTTTGAATTAAAATTTTAATGCAAGAACATTTTAGGTATTTTCTTTTCTCTCTCCGTCTTCCGGCCACCATCCTCCGTTGATACTATAGTGATACCTAAAAATATTGACTCTGTTAAACAAAATACACCGTGTGATACCCAAGCATATATAAGATACATTGTGATACCACTGTGTTACATCTCCGATCGACCACACAAACGACCTCAGTGTGATACTCAAGCACATATATGATGCATTGTGATACCATTGTGGTATCACCGGAGGACGGGCCTGAGAATGATGGCCGGAGGACAGAGAGAGAAGAGATGAGAGTTTTAAAATACCTAAAAAATGTCCTTCATTAAAATTTTAATTTAAAATTATTAAAATTATAAATTTCCTAATTTATCTATTGATTTGTGGTTGAGATTGAGATTGAATCGGTTACCACAAACTAATTAGTTCTCATTTGATTAGGCGCATATATATATATATATATATATATATATATATATATATATATCATACCTTTGCTTATATATGATATTGATTTGTGGATCCGTATTAGATTTTAAAATAAAGAACTTAATTCAAAATTTTGCCTTTTACTTTGTGGCAATCGAAAGATAAAAGATATGGCCAACAGTTGTTTGAATGATGTACACGTAAATTTTGATTGGTCATAAATTTTGATGGGGATGTAATTAAAATAGTATGTTTGCAAGAAGGGATTTATAAAGGTACATATAATATAAGGTAAAAGGAATGGGAAGGGAGTTGAAACCCTACCCGATTTAAAAAAAGTATTGGATGTTGTTGGCAGGCTGCAAGGAGTTTCCGCAGTTACCTTTTATGCCCCACAATACACACTGTGTTGTGGCAGTAGTGCGGCACAGAGGAGAGAGAGAGTATAAAATGTTGCAGAAGAAGAAGCTTCTAACGGTGAGGTGAAGTAGACAAAGAAGAGACCTCCTTCTACATACAGTAAAAGAAATTCGATGGTCCTATCAACATAGATAAACCTAAATTATACGGAAACCAAAAAAGGGAAAAATAGTCATATAGAAATTAGAATTCCAAATTTGCAGAAGTAGGGACTAGTTAAGACGTCTCCTCCAAGTTAATTTAGCGTAATTAATTTGCCAGCCAGCGCCCTGATCCAACCATTATGGCTTTAACCGAACCCATTGATACCTTCCTTCCATTGGAGCGTCTTTCACGATATCGTAGTTGTACCTGTTCCATGACCAGTAAAAAAGAAAATTAGTTGAAAATGCTGTCTGTACTCGATCTACAATGCGCATGTAGAGGTTGATGTTAATTAGGAGTTGACTATCATGCACACACCGGCCTAGCTACTTACTTTTCCGCGAATCGTTTCTTCTCGTACTTTTCCGCTTCGGAGAAAAATTCTTCAAGCTCCGCTGCAGAAGGAATCTTAGCCGTTGCTGATGGTTTACGACGGGAAGTGGCCTCATTTGGCGGTGCTGGATTCTTCTTCTTAGGAGTAGACGTGGACACCGACTCCATTTCTTCTGATTCTAAGCAAACCACACTAGACACACTTGTCTCTTCACTGTAGATTTACATACACGAATTCATAATTTAGCGGTGTGGAGTTTTATATACAGACAAATTCGAAACGCTATAACCAATGGATCAAAAACGAGTTCAAAACCAACATATCAAATAAGAATCATAATTTAGAGTGATAAATTAATTTAACCTGAAACCGTCGTTGCTGGACATGAAGACTTCAGTTTCGGAAATACACTCGGCCTGCGACTAAACATCCATGAAATTAATTAGTAATAATTAATATCGAAAAAAAGTAACGGAAATAAATTTATGACTCCATCAATATATTTACGAGAATTTTCAATTTTCAAACCTTCAGATCTGGTCTGGAATCGTCATTTCTAAAGCACATAAAAGGCGAAGCATGATCAGAAGTACCAGATACCGCCGTCGAAACAATATTCTCCTGCAAATTCACGTCACGATCACGTCGAGACTGATATTCAAGCTGAAAAACATCCTCCCGATCCTGAGCACCAAATTTTCTTCTCTTACCGTTGCCGGAGCTCGTAACTTCACTATCTCTACTCCGGCGCACACCTCCATGCGAATTTGAAACCTCCATCACCAAAACCTTATATGTTCATTTGCATCACCTCCTATATCTCCGTTTCCTGAATCATAAATCACACTTATAGATTGCCGTAAAAGCTTTCGTTAAATCAAACTGAAAGATCGGAGCTCTCTCTCTCTCTCTCTCTCTATATATATATGAAGAGTAGAAACAAGCTAGTTGAGATTAGACAAATGGAAAAGAAGAGTGGAAATAAAGGAAAGTGTGGATATGATCGGACGGTGGATAATTAATGAGTCGGTTTTTTGTTTTTTCCCCTCCTCCCAAAAATATTAAATTTGTAAAATTTAAACAACATACATCCAAAATATATACTTCTTTTTAAATATTATTTAAATAATTATGGTGAAAGATGTACATTCTTGATAATTTACTACTTCTTTTGGCAATAAGATTTAAAGGTTGTGGTTTAATTAGGCTTATTGATTTATATAGCTTATTCGTATAACTCATTTGAGTTGTTTACCTACGGCTTATTCATACATAACATAACTTAATCGTACAGATATAAATGGTGTGTTGTCCCCATTCAGCCACAAAAATGACACATCTACCTCTTATTTGAAGTACCGCCTCCTTTTCATATGAGACACTCCATTTTTGGCCTCTTTATGATTTTTTGTTTTGATGTTCGAATAATTAATATTGGGAGGGAGGGAGGGAGGGGGTAAATCAACCATTTGTGTTATTCAAACTGTTGGTTCAGATAAAAAAAAAAAAAAACAACACCACCTATTTATCCAGACAGACAAATTTATCCATTCTAGACTTAATAATTTTTTTTTGTAAACAGCCCCTTAGGTAACATGTTTGAGTTCATGATTTTTCTGATTGTTCTTCATGAATCAGTTGCAAGTAAGTTGACCCAGAAATCTATGGTTAAAAATGAGCATATTTTTTTTGAAGCCTGAAATATTAATCATTTAAAATTATAATATATATGTAACATTAATTTGATTGGTTAAAGTCATTTAAAGGAAGTTATAAAGTTTCAGGAGATGATGGTGGTGAATGCAGAGGATGATTGATGATTAGAATTTTGAGGTGAGAAAAGAGGAATTATAGTGATGAATGGTAGATATAATTTATTAAACATAACCAACATATTTATACAATCACTTTAATAAAATCATTTTTTTAAATACTCATATTTACAAAAAAAAAAATCGTATTATTATTTTAAAGATTTATATAGACTGCTTGATAAACCAAATGTTTTTTAAAAAGGTTTTTTTTTTATTTATAAAAATTATATTTTAAAAAACGATATATATTAAATATTTATTTATTAAAAATTAATGGCCCATCCATCCAATCAGGGACGAGGCAATGTTTGGTTCATGGTGGACCCTCCACATTACTTTCAGCCAAATTTTATATGGTCTTTGAATTTCTAAATGTTTTATTATGTTTCCTTCTATTTTTTTAACATTTAATTGGTAAATGCAATATATTTATGTTAATAATGGCAACCTCAATCAGTCTCATATAAAATCCGTCTTTAAAGACATTATTGTAAGAAGGTGATATTTTTGGTTCACTCAACGACTGAGTCTAGTGGATGTTCAAGACTGAAATTAAGACCTATCTTGTATTTGGATAAAATCACCCCATTCATTTATTAACTGAACTATATCATCACAGGTCCACCATAAACCAAAAATATAAAAAAAAAAACGAGCAATTTAAAAAATCCGGTTTCGACCAAGCATATTTGATATGTTTTTTTAGTTACAACAAAATAGAAGAGCTTTATGATATTTAATATCATCAATTATTCTGCATTAATAATAATAAACGTTAAATTCGTATTTTTAATTCAAACTTTGTAAGAAATTCAAAATACCCAACAAATAATTTTGATTTTCCTAGGTAAAAATAATTAAGATGGAAATCATAAAATTTTATTTTTAAAATTATTTTCTATTTGAAAACAATCCTTAATTTTCTTTAAAAAGTAAAGTATCTATACTATATTATAAAACATTTTACAAAAATTCTTAAAAACATTTTTTATACATGAAGTACCGTAAATTGATGCATATTACTTAAAATTCAAGATTACAAGTAAATTATGCATAAATACAACTTATTAAAGCTTAATGTTTGAATTCGTGTAACTAACATAAACATCTCATTTTAAAATATAAAAAATCTAAAGTATAATTAGGATAATTATCGAGTTCTAATAAAATAATTAACTATTATCTTTATAAGAAAATCATATTATTAAAACCAAATATAAATTACTTCGTTATTGAACGTAAATTAAATTATAATTTAAAAAATTGAATTAAAAAATTACACAAAAAATGATGAATTTTAAATAGTTAATTTGATATTAATATCGATATATTGTTGTCAAATTTTTATGATATCTTAAAATTTACATTTTATTAAAAAATAAAAACATCATCGTTTTTTCAAAATCACATAAGACCATATTATAACATCGATTGAGATAAATAATAAAATAAAATATTAAAATCAAGATGTATCTCGCTGCATTGCACGAGTACCCTTCTAATTTATAATAAAAGATAGGTCGTGTAATATGTAAAAATAAAATAAGTAATTATAAGACTCTATTTAACTATTTAGCAAGCAGGAAAAAAAAAAGCATGTACGAACCATCTGTTACGAATAAAATCGAAGATGAATAAACCTTACACATTGTTCACTGGCCCACTTGTAATTTTTAGTATGAAATGGGACAACACGTTGCTTCTAACAAAATGTTATGAAACTTGCAATTACACGGGATTAACGCTTTTTCCGTTTCTAGCCCTTTTAATTTGCTTCAAATATTAAAGATTGTTACAAATTACCATCAAGTTAATTACTTCAATAATTATTTATAAGTGCGTGTCGACTCATATTTACCATATCAGATTTTATAATAATTAAAATATCAGATGCAAAAACTGAATAAACAATTTTTTAATTATTTTTTCTATCAAAATTATCAATCTTAACTTTGAATGATGAATTGTACATATCAAAGTTGTGGTTACATTGGACCACTCACATTTATCATTTATCGTTATATTTAGGTGATGAAATTATAATTGATACACTAAAAGTTGTTGCAATCACTAGTTTTAAAATCCCCACCACCCCGTGCAATTAATATCAATATCACAGGATTTTTAATATCAATTAAATTGGTTGTAAATTAAATATATTAAAGATACAACTATTTTTATTTAAAGATGTAAGAGCATTTTTAATATAATATATTATTTTAGAAAATTTAAAAAATTAAGAAAAGTTTGTTATAACAAATATTCTTTTACATCACTAACTTTCCAGAACAGGTCAAAGAGGCAGACATCTGGAAGATTCTTATTAGGATTGATAAAGCAGTTGATGTTTACATCGCTAAGAAACGCAACAAGCAAGGCAGCAGATTCGGTTTCGCAAGGTTCTTAGGAGTTTCAGACTCTAGAGGGTTCGAAGGCAAGCTCAATAACACGTGGATTGGAGGTCAGAAACTTGTTGCCAATCTTGCAAGATTCGGAAGGGAAGCCCCACCTCGGAATGTCGAAGGTGCGAAGTCTCATGGTGGGGCCAACCGACCAATTAAAGCGCTGAAATCTTTTGATGATTATACTCCCCTATCGTTCAAATCTTCTCCTGAGTCTAGGCGACGGTTGAGTCGATCTTTGGTGGGTAAGTTCGCTTCCTCCTCTCTTCTTTGGGGTATCGACGACCTTTTGAAAGACGGAGGCTGTGATGGATATATGATCAAGTACTTAGGGGGTCTGCATGTTCTTTTGGAATTTGAGTCCCCGGAAGGTGCCATTTATTTTCTTTGTAATGCGAAAGACTCGTGGAGCTGTTGGTTTGAATCGCTGGATTCATGGTCAGAGGGATTTGTTGTTCCAGATCGACTTGCAAACATCGTTATCACAGGGGTGCCCCCGCAAGCCTGGTCGTCAAACGTCTTTTCCTGCATTGCGAAACTCTGGGGACAAGTGATCATACCGGAGGAATGCAACGAAAATAATCTGTACTTGGCTTTCGGGAGAGAAGGGATTCTTACGACGCGTTCAGATAGGATCCATGATTCTTTCTACGTGGCGATAGACAACAGAGAGTATCGCATCAACATCTCAGAGGATCTTTTGGACTCGATCAATATTGCCCCTGATTTCTGTGATCATTTCAAACCGATATCTGATTCCCTTTCGGATTCAGATTTTTCTGATAGATCGGAGAACCCTCATATAGACGATGATACTATTCTCGATAACCATTCTAATCTCCGGTCGCCGGGAAACTTTGTTGGAAGCCAGGATCCTGGTGAAGATGAGGAAATCGAAGAGGCAAGAGAGGGAGAAGGTAAGTCGAAAAGTCTTCCTATTTTCCAAGATAATTATTTTCCCATTCACTTGGATCACTTTTCTGCTGGGAATTCCTTTCCCACGTGCGCCCCCCTTTTATCTTTGGTTGATAAGGCTCAGGAACATGATATGGTCCACGCCCCTTTTTCTGCTGAGCCCATTATGGATTTCTCCCATGAGCCCAATTACTCTAGTTTGGGCCATCACTCGTTTCATAACCTTAGTCACAGACATGCTTTTAAAAAGAGAATCTTATCCTCAAGACCCTTCTTTCCGCTAAAGCCTACGTTTGTGTTCTCTCAGGCGCTGTCTAGGAAATCCAAGGTAACAATTCCTCCCTGTGTTCCAGTTGTTCAAGCAGATAAGAGGGCTTCTTACACTAATTCTGCTAATTTGGAGCAACCCCCGATGGATGCGCCGGTGTCGCCTTCGATCGGACCGGCCTGCAATAGCAGTGAGTCGTTGGATGGGGTAGCGACGGAGATCCGAGATACCATGGAAATTGGTAGTATGGTTAGTTTCTGTATGAACGGTTGTGAAACAAAACTCAGAAAGGTAATTTCTTCCACAGGGGATGTGCAAGTTAATCAATGATCATTCTTTCCTTGAATTCTAGGGGGGTTGCTGCTGAGGCTAAGAGGTGTTGGATCAGAAACTTGAGGGCTGGCAACAAAATTAATTTCCTGGCTCTACAGGAATCGCATATTAAGGATGAGGTGGACCTGAGTTTCATCCAATCTATTTGGGGTAAAGGCTCTATCGATTTTATTTCATTGAAATCAAGG